CAACATGCTTTAAACAGGGATCTTCTGACAGTGACAGTTAAAGATACCAAAGACAGGGAAAAGTCTCAAGCCCTGACTCTTCAGAGCTTAAGCAGGGCTGTCCCGGGGGCAGGAGCAAGGAGTACCAAATCAGGGCAACTGCCCCAGGCCCCATGCTTTGGGAGGCCCTGTGGAGCTGGGTGGGGGGCAAAACAGCAGCAGCACAGAGCAGCAGCTCCACATCCAGCCACTCACTACCCTACCCCCACAACAGTTTCTCTGGGTCCAAGCCCCGATGGCAGCAGGGGTAGGGCCCCACAACCTAGTTGAGTCAGCTCTGGGCTTAGGCACCACACCTCCCCTATTAGGGATTTGCCCTGCACTTTTTTCCAGTAAGCACCTATGTGCTTCCAAAGCCAGGAGATGGTGACACTCTCCTTTATCCAACACTTCCATTGGAAAAGCCCTCAGTTGGAAGGAGGAAGAGCTAAGCTGAAATCCCTCCCCATGGCCAGTAAGGCGGGCAGACACAGAGAGGCGGGAGGTTTAACCCATATGCGTCCAGGGGGGTGGTCTTTGTAAGCAAGCCACGTGCTGGCCCCCAATGGACAAAGCATTCACCTAGGAATCAATAAGAATGGATTGAGGAAGAGGACTTGAGCCCAAGTCTCCAAAAGACTGAACAAGAACTTTAACCACACACATCAGATGAGGGGGCAGCATGTGTTAGTCATTAAGTCCACCAGGAGAAGGCCTGGTTGATCCAGCCTGCAATTATGGCAGTGGAGGAATACTTAAGGGGAGAATCTGGCTGAGGGCAGAGCTGGAGCAGCCTGTTGTGGGTCAGCCTGGAAACTGCCTGTCAAGCCCTGCAGACATCTAGGAAGCTTTTATGCTAAAGGTTGGGGCACTCCCTAACTTGAATTGCCCTCAGGATGCAGCAGCACTGGAGGCCCCATGCGCCCTTGGGCGGCGCACCCGAGCGCACGACGCAGGCACCCCCGGGGACCGCGGACCCATCCCGAGCGGCCTGGCTCCCGCTGTAGGGCGGCGCCAGCCCGGCCGCACCGCAGGGCCCCGCTCGCCTCAGCGCCGCGCGTCGTGCCCGAGAGCCCAAGGGCGGGGCCCGCAGCCGCGCCGCGGGGAGAGGAACAGCCTCTGGCCAGAACCACTGCCCGCCCGGCCCGCGCAAGGTCACCGGCACCCGGCCCGGCCCCGCGCTTACCCCCGCTGCCCTCCCCATGACCCGGTACTGCCACCGACAGCGTGCGCCGCCCGAGCGGGGAGCGGAGGGCGCGAGTGAGAGCCAACCGGGGAAGCCTCGCCAGCACCGCCATCTCGCTCGGCCGCAGCTCACCGAGAGCAGCCGCACCGGAACCGGAAGTAACCGGGGTGCCGGCCTGCAGGGGACAAGAAATGCGCATGCGCACCCGCCTCTCAGTGCGCATGCGCCCTCAGCCAAACGGGTTCCGCCCTGTGATTGACCTTGAACCGTCAGGCCGTGGCGGGCCGCGCTCGCTTTACTGCGCAGGCGCCAATGCACTGACGTTTATTAGTCACGTGGCTCCCCTGATGGTGAATCCTCCGCCATTTTGAACGTCGAGCGGTTCCCGACCGTTGTTCTGGCGTTGACCCCTCCTCCCGAGAGAGTTACCTCCAGGCTGCGGATGCACAGTCGGGGAGGGCAAGGTGGAGCTGTTAAACCCTGACCTGCTCGGTGGGGCTCTGGCCTCGGGGAGAGCTGGGCCCAGCCCTGGTGGCCTTGACTGCCTTTCTTTGTGGCTGCGCAGATCGTGACGCTCTTGCAGTGCGAGTCACTGCTTAGTGCAGACCTGCACTGGGATTTGCCTTCAGGGCTGCCCTGGCCTGCGGAGGATTCTCTCTGGCTGTGATCGTCAGAGCAGTAGGCTCCTGTGCCTGAAACAAGCCCACTGTCCCTAGGGATGTGTTTCTGCGTGGCGAGATGTTTCTGATAATACAAAGTGGGGAAAAAGTCTTGAAAATCCATCTTCTGCTGTTCCTACAGTGAAGAGGTAGAGACACACTTGTCCTTCCAGAGCCACGGGACTTGGAACCATGTGGTGGCTTTTGTAACATTTTCTACTGACTATATTTTAAAATATTTAGCTCATGGCATTTGAGACATGTCAAGTGCCTGTACCTGCAGCATTTCAGTCAGAAATGTATCACGTAGGTGACTGGAGACTCCATGGTTTTTTCATGTAGAATGTGCAAGTTGCACGTTCTGATATCTGTTTTGTGACTTGAACATGTTATGTATATAGATGCAGGGCTAAATCATGATTTTTTCTGCTACGGAAGAGCAGATCCTAAGAAGTATCACTGAAGTCAGCAGAATCAGTTCAGGTTACACTGCTGTAGATAAGAGCAGAATCTGAACAATAGGGTGCAAATGTCTACTTAAGCGCCCTCAGCACATTTTTTAAAAAAGATATAGCGCAGCATTGTGGAGTTGTTTGACTAAAAGTGCAAATGATCCTGGAATAGAGAAATGACAAGAGACCAAATTACTATAGGGAGATTTTGATGCTGTATAGCTTTTTATCTTGCTGGCTGGTTTTTAGAATTAAATTTAGCAAAAAAATCTTTCTTCTCCTAGTTTTGGAGTAAGTCAGTTTTCATTTAAGTGAATTCATCTTCAGTGAACTTGCCCCATAAAAAGTGTAATGTGCTTTGCAAGCACAGGTGTTGGGTTCTCTTTTTTACCAACTTTTTATTGGAATGTGACTATTGCTCATGTGATCTTTACCAGAAGCCATGTAAAAAGAGAGTGTACATCTTTAGACTCATCACTTCTTCAGTACACCAAGAGGCTGCTGTGCCAAGGAGAGAGACAGAGAGACTGGGGAGTGCAAGATAAGGACAGCTGCAAGAGCTGAACTGTGCATTGTGGAGAAGGAGCCAGAGTTTCCTGGCAAGATGTTCAGTTCTAAAGAGGGAACAAAGCAATGTTGCTGTCCACTGAAGAAAGTGTCTCTGCAAGGAGCTGTAGAAGGTACACCTCATCTGTATAGTGAAAGTTCCTGAATTGGGATTACATTATTACACTCTTGTGCTCTGGTTGTGTTATAAGACCTACACTTCATTTAAATGTCATATACCATGGTTTGATCCTTTCTAGATAGGCAAGACCAAGCATGTTGTAATGTGATTCAGTCCCTGTTATGTTGTAGCGTAAATCACCTGAAATAATAGGTGCCTGCCCTTGATCCAGTGGAAGTAAAGGGAGTGTGACAGGATGGTGCCTGAGAGCTACCTCGATGCTCCCTAGTGGGTGCCCTGATCCTGCCCAGTTCCCATTCCAGCCTGCCAGGGTCTCATCTTGCTTCATTACCTGCTTCACCTTGGTATTAAAAAGTAATGAAGGGAGGCTGCCCTTGGAGTCTGGTGGGCACAGGGTGCACTCTTGCTCTTTCTGTACTCACCTTGCTTGCATAAGGGCCAAATTTGTAGTCTCCTTCCACCCCTATAGCCACTGCCATGCCTTGCCAGATGTTACTTTGTCCATAGCCTGTTCCTTGTGAAGAGGCCACAGACCTCTTAGTTTTAGTCCTTATTTTCTCTGGCTGCAGGCATCCAACCTTGACCCACTGCTTTGGGCCCAGCTTTCTCAGCCTTAGTGCTTGCTGGGTATCTAGTCTCCAGACCCCTTGGCCCTGTCTTAACACCTAGTCTCAGACCCACCTGGGGTCCTTGACCAGGGCAAGGCTGCTCTCGCTCTGTTCAGTGTCCCCTGGCATGCTGGCCCCAGGGTGATGTTAGGTGCCTCTGCAACAGCCCTGTGGCTTCCTCTTCACCTCTTATAGCCACCCCCAGTCCACCAGTGGTACAGCAAACAGACATATGTTAACACAACTAAAACATGCACATACTGCCTTCACTAAGTTCATCTCCCATAAACTATAACTCCCAGGGCCAGGCCTGTTCTCACCCTTATGGGTAGCCTCTGTTCCCTTGGGCACTGCTTCCCACAGTAAGCTCCTCTCCCTGCAGCCCACAGGGCCTGACTGCCCCATCTGGCTCCAGGACTGGGCTTATGTGACTAGGAAGCCCCTCACCTCCCTCCCCCCACAACCAGAACAAAGGTTGGGTTTTTTTCTTTTTGTTAAGGATCAGCCTGTGTTCCAGTTGCTCTGTGCTCCCTGGTGTGCATTCCCTCTGCCGAGACCAGCTGCTTCAATTCCTTATCCCATCCCAAATGTCTGTCACAGTCTTCCTCTTTTGGATGTTGTTTGTCTGGTCTCCTGTCTGCATGTGAACTCCTTTGGCGTATGCCCTGGATGCGCTGTTGGGAACTTCCTACCCCTCCCTTGTGTCTGAGTAGCAGGGTTTGGGTCTCCTATTACCAGGGGTTTGTCCATTTCTGCCAGTTGGAGCAAGGATTCCTGCATTTGGATGTAAAAGTTGATGAGAAAACTGGAGTGTTGTCCAGGCTGTGTCACTCAGATCCTTCCCAAAACACTGCAGTTTTCCAGAACTCCAAACTGTGTTCTCTTTGGTATGTGCAATGTTAATAAACACTTTGGTTTATTTGCTAGACCCTGTTGGTTCTCACAGCATGATTATTCTTTCTTGGTCATTTGCCCATCTGTTGTGTGTCTGTAGCCTAAAGGAAGAAATGTAGGAGTGAGAGTATACTTAACAATACATTGCATGCCCTCTTATTACAGGGCTGATCCTACATTTCACATTATAAAGTCATTGTATATGAAGCAGAATTAATCCTGAAAGCGGGGACTGGAACCCAGATCCTCCCTCTCCCTACTGAGTGCCCTAATTCATATGCTGCAGAGTCAGGTTGTCTCTTCTTGCTTGCTGTGCTTTGCTTCTTGCTTATGACATGTACAGTGTTGACTGCATGGTGACCCAGCTTCAACAAGAGGGGTTAAGGGTGTCCACACTAGACTACTTGATACCTCAGGAGTTAGGACACTGGAAAACGGTGTGTGTAGAACTGAATCCCTTCAGATGGAGGGAATTTAAATCAAGTTTCTCATTTCATGGTTGAGTGCTCCAAACACTAGGCTATAAAATGGTACTACAAATGGTGGTTGGCACCAATGTAGCCACCTCCTCATAAAAGTGTAACCTTGTCAGTTAGGTGTCTAGCCTTGGAAGGGAGTAGTTTCCTCTAGATCCCAGGCAGATGGAGATGCCTAAGCTCCAGAGAAGGATGGGAGTTCAGAAACAGGCTTGCAATCAGTGTTTCCAATTGGATCAGTGTTTAATTATCTATCAGGTTGCTTTAGCACCTTGGGTGCCATGTGATCCTTCATGAAGGGTGCTGTGTGATACTAGCACTACTGGGTGTACAAATACATACACATGATTCACAAGTTGAAACCAAAGATTTCAAATAGGAATCCAGAATATCAAAACCATTGTGGTCTTCCTGAGTTCTTTGCAACAGAAAATATGAATCATAGAATCACAAAGAAGTAGGGCTGGAAGGAACCTCCAGACATCATCTAGTCCAGTGGTTCTCAACGTTTTTTGTATCAGGACCCATTTGTAAACATCAATGGCCAGTCCCCAACCCAGTAAATAATTTAAGTAGAAAACAACCCCTGGCCCTACCAGTGCCATTCACTCCTGCCCCCATGCCCCAGCCCCCCAGTGTGTGGGGCAGATGGGTTGAGTGTGTTGAGGATATGGGGGGGACCCCAAGCAGCCCTTTGCAGGCTGGAACTCTGCCAGACTGCAAAGGAAAACCAACAGTTTCCCACATTTTTCTCCTTTAAAGAGAATCCAGTTTAAAGTTTATTGATCCATTTTTTTAAGTTTGTTTGCAACCCTTTAATATATTTTTGTGACCCACTTCTGGGTCACGACCCATGGATTGAGAAACGCTGTTCTAATCCAATTTCCTGCCTGAGGCAGGATCGTCCCTATCCAAGCTATCTTATACAATCCAGAATCTAAACTCTATGTAAGACTACTGTGAGACACAGACCTAACACTCCACCCTGCCACAGATACAGCAGGACAACCACAACTGGCAGTGTCCTGCTTCTGTGAAACCTTGTCAATATATGCTCAAGAGATCCCAGGTAGAGGGCCACGCCCCCCACTACAGAGGAAGCGAAAAAACCCTACAGTCCATACCAACCTGACCATGGGGTAAAATTCCTTC